GCGCCGACGACCAAGCGGACGGCCCCGCAGGTGTCTCCAAGGCAAACGGCGTCCTCGAGCAGGGCACCGACGAGGAGGCAGAGGCCAAACGGGAGAACTTCGCCGGGCTCCCAAAGGCGTGCGGTGTCTTCGACCAGTGCGCCGACGACGGGGCTGGGACCCAAGCGGAGGGCCTGGCCGGTCTCTCCGAGGCATCCGGCGTCCTCGAGCAGGGCACCAACGAGGAGACAGGGGCCAAAGCGGAGGGCCCCGTCGGTCCCTCCAAGGCGTGCGGTGTCTTCGAGCAGGGCGCCGACGACCAAGCGGAGGGCCCCGCAGGTCTCTCCAAGGCGAGTGGCGTCCTCGAGCAGGGCGTCGACGAGGGGGCAGAGGCCAAGGCGGAGGGCCCCTCCAGCTTCCCCAAGGCGTGCGGCGTCTTCGATCAGGGCGCCGACGAGGGGGCAGAGCCGGCAGAAGATGGAGAGCTTAGCGACGCCCCAGGAGAAAACCCTGCTGTAGAGTGAAGTTTTGAATCTGTTGTATCCTGGTCGTTACTTTTTCTTAAACAAAATTGAGATAATGCCTTCGACACTACGTGCCAGCTTTTACATTATTGCCAGCAACGCCTGATTAGGGGAGGCGGAGCAGGCCCCACGTTTGACGGCTCGGTAGGCCAACCCGCCAAGCAGCTGCGTGAAGACGGCGGCCCACCCTGCCTTCAATGTCGTGCTCAATGCTCACGGCCATGAAAGCGTAGTTCTCAAAAGACGTCTCAGTAATAGTCACTGCGGCTCACGGTGGGCTGTCGCTGCTTGCCTACCTGGGAGTACAATGGCGTCCATGTGGTTTTCGGATTGAACTGGGGCTTGCACGTGCCCCAATAGGTAGGAGCAATATGCTGTAGCCAGTGGCGGTCAGCCGGAAGTAAAACTGGGGTCGTCGCATAATAAAAAAAATATTTTATACAAAACACTTATATGTTTTTACTTGTGATGTCAACGAGTATAACAAAAATACATAATATTAGTCTTGTGAGAGGGAATAGAATGAGCACTGAAATACAGCAATCACATAACAATTGACATAATTAATTGAAAATAACAGATGTATGGGGGCTAATCACATTTTTCATCACAATAATTAAGGAAATAGAGGGGTGGAATTTATGCCTTAAAGGTTTTCCTCGCTTAAGAAATTATCCAGGGCTACTGTATCATCATCCAGGGTGACCTCTTCAAGTGATGGACCCAGCTGGGAGACCTTTACAGGAGAAACTGCAAAAGGGAAAAATAAATGATTTTGAGAGACACCCTCTTACACAATGAAAACTACTATGAGAAGATAAATTGATACCTGGAAGTTTTCCAGACTGCTTGAATTGTTCTAAATCCTCTTGGAAAACTTGACCAAAGGCATCTTGTCTTTCTTTTAAGGTCTGGCACTGTTTCCTTTCATGATCTGACATTTTTTCTGTGTACTCTTTAACTAAGCTCTCTATGGAAAAGAGGAAAGCATTTGTTAATCACTAAGATTGGAATAACGTGAATACCTTCATATGTTGCCTTCTGTACCTCGAACCCTCTCCAGTTCTTGCAATTTTTTTTCTTTATAGAGAGCCAATTGGAACCGGTGGTCTAACTGACGCTCTTGGTGTTCTTGAGTTTCAATTATGTCCTCTAATTGTAAGAGGTTGTGCTCTACTTCATCAAATACTTCTTGAAGGTTGCCTGAAGTAAAGAAAGAGATCATGACAATGCCAAAGAAGAAAGGCTGGATGCAGAAAATGTAACTGAATTCACCAAGCATTTACCAAGCCGTTCCATCAGAGACTGGGTAGAAGAAATGGTTTGTGGGATTGCAGCCATTGATGTTGTCAACTGACTTATACTGGCCCATTGCTTCTCGAAATTGACATGCAGTCCGCCGATGATTTCATCTATAATCTAGCAAAAGCACAATTTTCATACAGAATATTTGTTGGAAAAACATGTTCTCTTTTTTGCACACTATGAGGTGATGTGCACAACATCTGTGAATACCTGTGCTTTTGCTGCATTTTCTTCTGCTAGTTGGTGCCCATCGTGCCATTCCGATTGGTACTTGTGCAAAAGTTCAGCTCCAGCATTTATGTTGACAGTTTTATACTCGCGCGGGGGTCGCGAGGATTCTCCTGACGATATCCGATGAAAACTGAGGCATAAAGAAGTAAATTAAACTGCGTTTAGTACGGCTTGTTTCACCAAAATGTTTACTTTAAGCAAATATACCAAAGGTTAAGTTGTCAAAAGTCACTAACCTTGCTGTTATACCCTCTTGAACCGACTGAATTTTATCCCGAAAACTATCAAACATGGTGAACTGACGCTTTCAAAGCAACATCGACTAAATTACAGTTAAATTAAATTTAAAAATTAGAAAAAAAAAGTTTGTTGTTGTTCATTCAGCCAAAACTTCCCCAGCAGTAGAACTGTCTGTCACATAACATTCACATTGATATTCATCAGAGCAACGCTCTTTACTTCTTGAGCTTCGCAGTATTACTGCATTTGTTTCAAGAAACCGATTTAATTCCCCTAGGAACTTTAACTTTTAATTGTCAAATTTAACATTCAAATCAGCTAATAATTGGTTATAAACCGACCAGGACGGGCGGCGGTGTTTCGAACATGAATACGAAAATGTAGTCTGCTTTCAGCGTAGCCCCCCCGTCGTCTCCGTGTTGACATTTGTGTTTTCCTTAGAAAGGAATTTTCAATCAATTATGTTTTTCTTAGTGAAAGATCCCTGCGGAATCGTTTGTATTATTTTAACATATTTAGCGGTATTTTACGCCGACTACGTTATCGTGAAATGGGTGATCTTACAAACAATGCAAAACAGGTAAAAGAGACACTGAGCAGACCTAACCTTACTCTAAATTTCTTCTGCTGTCATATTTTTCCTCGGTCCAGTAAAAAGTTATGTTTCTCTACTGAAATGAACTGTTCATTTTTTCCTGTGGATAGATAGAGTTCTAATTTTTATCCAAATATTCATGTATTTCAAATGGACCATCTCCCTTGTAAATATACCTAGATGCCAATTGTATTTATTGTTGTGTGTGTGTTTTGTTTTCAGCTTATGGGGCTCCTTTCATATGGTCATGTTTAATACTGTGGCCTTTTTAGCATCGATGGCTCATTTTCGAGCTATGTGTTCTGACCCTGGGACTGTTCCGCTGCCCCATAGCCGAATGGACTTTTCTGACATTCATTCAGGTACAGCAACAGTTTTTGGAGCTCTGTTCTCTGCTCTGATCATTTTTATTCTGCCATCCACTAATTTGTATTTCTCTTGGTTACAGATTGTAATGGTGGGTCTGATCAGGAAGATTGGACTGTATGTACAAGATGTGAAACATATCGCCCTCCTCGAGCACATCATTGCCGAATATGTAAGCGTTGTATTCGCCGCATGGACCACCATTGCCCATGGCAAGTATCCAGATAAATACAATTAATGAGCACATTGCCGTTAAAATCTCTTATTGCCAATTCACTCAACAGCTGTAAATTTCTAGATATGTAATATTTTGAAATCTTTCAGGATAAATAATTGTGTGGGAGAAAGAAATCAGAAATATTTTCTCCAGTTCTTGGTGTATGTAGGATTACTTGTCATTTATGCTGTAGCCTTGGTGATGGCTTCTTGGATGGAAGAATGTCCTGAGTGTCCAATGGATATTACTGTCCGTCAGAGTAGAATGTGAGTCAGAAATTATTTTGGTCAGTATAATTGTAGACAAATAATAGTTCTTTTAAGAAATTTAATAATGTTTCTTTTATTACAGCTTACACACTGTGTTGGTGTTAGTAGAGTCCTTATTATTTGGATTATTTGTAGCAGCCATGTTAATTGATCAACTTCAAGCAATATTCGGTGATGAAACTGCTGTTGAACAGGCTCAGGACCTGGGTCCGTACCGTCCACACAAGCCACGAATGGCTCTGCTTACTGAAGTTTGTGGACGCACGCACCCTTTGCTCTGGCTTCTTCCTTGTGACACATTAGGACCACACAGCTCCTATCAAAATGACTCCAGTGCATTATTAACTCATGAAGTTTGACAAATATTGATGGTTAACATAATTTTTAATTCAATACATACCAAGAACTACTCCTTCATATTCATCATATAAAATTTACACTTTTTAAAAAGTATTTTACCTCAAGAATTTTTCTCCTTGAAGTGTAATTTGTTAATGAAGGGTGTGTGATGGTACTATGCAACATTGTGATAAATTTTGAAGTGATTCCATTTTAGTTTCATTTTTTAATTCTCTATTTGGAAGATTTAAAGCATCTAAAGATGCATTTATAGTTAATGTTATACTTTTGAATTACCATTTATAATATGTATTACTATATGTATTGTATCATATTTATTTTAGTTGTATCGTGAATATACTTAGGCAAAGAACTAAATGATCACACTGTAAGCGACATCCATTGATCTTGTCTGATGTGAGAATGATTTAGTTGTAGAAAAATGTTATCGCTCTGCTTTAGCAGCATTTCAATAATTGTGTTACTTGTTATTGGTTTTTGATAATTTTTTTTGGAGAAGTATACATTTTTAAAGTAATGCATTGTTCTTGCCCTCTTTTTTTTGTAATATTTCATGCTGTTCTTGCCCTATGTAATTGATGTGGTAATTGTCTGCTCGCTGAATCAGATATTTATTCAATTCACTGACAGAGTGAAATTTTTTAAAAAGTAGTCTCCTTTAGAAGGACCAGACATACCTTCAGCACATTTAATTTCTCCCTTTCCTTAAAGTACACAGTGGCTAGGAATTACCAAAGACGTAAATACTGAATCTGCAAGATTTGCTCATTTAACTTAATGCTTTATCATCATCCTGCGTTTTCAGCAACTCAGTTTCTTCTCTACCTGTGTCTGGATATTTTTGTATAGTAGCTGTTAAATCTGTTTCTGATTCAAAATTTTGAATGAAGTAAGTTAAAACAATCGAGGATCACTTGCAATAATTACAAGCTGAATTTGTGTGGATTTTTCATGCTGAGACACATTGTGCTCTGTATTCTTATTATCGTAAGGGTGGCCGTAAAACTATTAGCCATCTCACTAAGTAGCTTCATTCCTCTTGGCTTTTATCTCTAATTGAAGTGATGCTCAGCTTTATACTATTCCGGTTTGTGTCATTTTTGTCTACAATTGACCATTATTTTTAGAATTAATCTATGCATCACACTAGATTATTCTTAGAGGAATTATTGCTTAAACTAGTCAACATTTCTTTTTCTGTTTTGATATTAATGTCTATTGATAGTAATAATATCGATTGCTACGACATATCAATCTCTGGAAATGGAGCAGCTTCAGACAATGATAAATTCGGAAACTACTTAAGATACGGACTGACATCTATGATATCTTCTGGCGACTTGTTATAGGGCTTGTTTTGTTAATTTACAGAAATTTAATGTCTGTCACATGACAAAGGAACCCTTATGTATTTCCTCTAGAATTTTCTTATGAACAAAGAACACTTATGTCTTCTCTCATTTTACTTTAATTGCAGAGTAATTCAATACCATAGCTTTAGTCCCCTGAGTTTATGATGTAGAACTGTTTCCAAGTTCTGTGTGTATATTTCCATGCACTTCTTTGTCTTTGGCATTCATTGTGGAGACTAGTTAATTACATACGAGCAAATCTTTCAAGCTTGTCATCTGCAGAGTGGAATGGTATGTCAAAACTATGTCTTAAAGGCAAAATCAATATCGTTCCAACACTTTTCTGACATTGCTTTGACAGTCATTTGCACTGCGTTATTAATTAATATATCATTTTGGGAGAGGAAAAAGAACGAGGGTACAATAGGAAGTTCCCTGAACAATGTCTGTTGTTATATTTGTATTAGCTTATGTATAGGTAAACCAAACTCACCACTTTGTTTTTCTGTCCACGCCATATGATAGATTTTTGGTGGCTTAAAAGTTAAGGATTTTCTCATAGATGGAGATGGGTACTTATTCGAAGATGGACTTAATTTTATACCTCATTTATGTATATTGAAAAGACTGTCATGTAGTTGACTTGCAAGAGGTCTTTGCACAATCTCCTGTGGTTTTTGCAGGACCGTTTTGTAATCCATTGCTCTGCATTTCGTGTTTATTATCGTTTTGCGACTTCTAGGCAGCTTGCCTTTATAGTTAAATTTGGTTCTTTGCATAACTAGGCGCACTGTTCTACTGAGGGTGTGCTGCTTGAGGTGTGCACAGAGTATACAGTGTATCCTCCTTTTACCGTGTTGACGATTTAACATTATCTTGTTAATCCTTTCCTTACCTTCAAATTTCTGCAAAACCATTTTGTACAAAATAGTGAGGGAGCGAGAGAGAGAGAGAGAGTTGTCCAGCAATACATATCATGTGCAATACGTCGTGTGCTGTCCTTATTTCCACCCTGCCCACCCACCTGAGCGTGTACACGAGGAGGGTTACACTTGTCCAAAGCCCGGATGCTCGTCCGCCGCAATTATTCGTAACCGGGTCACGAATGTGCAGTAATTGTTGGCCGTGCCGAGCGGATGGGGGCGACGGGAAACACCGAGTGAGTGCGAGGGAGAGGGACGGCCTTATCGAGTCGACCCTCTCTCTCCCACTCGCGGCAGCATCAGGAGCATCAGGAGCATCCAGGCCCGGCCCATCGCCGGCTCCAATTATCGCGGTCCCGGCGGGGTCCGCGGCGCGGCGTCCCCATCCCTTCGACTCTCCACCGCGGTTCGGCTGCGCTCTGCTGCCTCGGATCGTTTGGCACAAAACATGTCGAGTGCTTCCGGGTTCACGCGAGGGGTTTCTTCTTAATTTTCTAGCAGTTAAAACATTTTTCGCCCCCCCCCCTCTCTCTCTGCTTCTACCCCCTATCTTTTCGCAATACCGGATGTCGACATCTTTTCAGTAACATCAAACAGGTGCGAAGTGACACCACATCACTCCCACTTCACTCCGGCGCCGCGCCCACGCCTCTGATAACGGCGGCCGGCGGGCTGCATTAACCGTTTTAGCGGCGGTGGGGTGCGGCTTCCCCCCCCCCCTCGCCCAGCACTGTAAAAAGTGTTCAGTAATTATTGACAACTGCATCTGTAATAGACAAAAGTTTGCTCAACCCGACTTGCAAGTAATTTATTGAGCCTGAACTGTTAATTATAGTGGCTTGAGTCGTAATGATTGCTATACGAAGCCGAGTGCAACTCTCTAGATTTAGGGCATCTGATGTGATGTTGCCGTTCGAGCTCATATGTGCGATGTGTCCATTTGGACTCATTGTAATTTTCCAACCGAAGCTGTCGCTGTCAACAACTATTACAAGCAAAGTCATCTAAAACAGAAAACATACAAAAGTATTGTAACAACACAGTAATTTCCGACTCACCCCGCCCCCCACCCCACCCATCTCGCAACGCACCAAAATGTTTGTAGCAGGCGGGGGTGCCGACGGGGGACCGCCAGCGGCAGGGATTTGCTTTACAAATGGGCTGATTAAGGGGCACTCTCCTCTCGTCGATAGCCTGCACCGCCCCGTCCTACCTCGCCCCCGGCCCGCCCCCACACGCCCCTGCTGTGCTGCTGGCAACGTCGGGCGTCGCGACGCTCCGACCGCACCCGCCACCGCGCCCGCGAGGTGCCCGTCAGGTCGACACCCACGCACACAGCACCCAGTCAGGCACGTGTCCGACTGCACAACAGCTTCCCGCCAACAACGCAAAACACATCACATCACCTCTTTCCAAAGCCCACCTCCACGTCATACATGTATATATTTTGTAAAAAAACAAACAACAGAAACACGAAAAAAACACGGCAACAAAGAGATTAATTAAATGACAGAGCAGGTGAAGCTGGGGGTGGCGTGCGCTCTCCGTTATTGTGTAGAATAGAGTCGGAACTGATGCAATCAGGCGTAGAGCCGGTCTTAATCCCTCGCGGGCTGACGTGGCCCCGCCCCGCCCCGCCAGTGACGCAGGGCTGCGCGGGCCGACGGACTCGCACACGAGGGGAAGGTCCTGCCCGACCACCCGCGACCCTCACCCTGCTCTTGTCCTTTGCCGTTTTGCTTTTCAGCCCGGCTTTCTCTTCCCATTCCTTGCATTGCTGGGCCGTATTGGATGCCCCGCCTTTATTTAGTTGGCATCCGTGACCAGCCGCGGCGGCGCGGCGGGCGTCCCGTGGAGGGAATATGGAGATAAGCTGCTGCCAGCCCTGCCAGCCCCGCCCAGGTTCAAGTTCTTTGGCGGAGCTGGGAATCATCCTCCTGGAAGTACGTTCGTCTTTTCACCGTCACGAATCTGCAGCCTCTGCAAAGCTCTCGTAGCGCCTGGCGGGTAGGCAATATCTTACCTGCAGCGCGTGCGTGTACAGCGGGGTGGCCTACCCAGAGTCTCGCAGGCGCTGAACTCCCGCAGTTTGCCGAATAAATCTGATAAAAGAAGACGGCCGTATTTTCTGGACGATGCATAGCCTGGGAGACAGTCAGGCCCGCGACGACCCCCGACAGTAAGGCCGCAGTCTGTGCAAGGCGATTCCGCACAGCGTTTTCTCATGCCCTCTCTCTCTCCCACCCAGTGAAGGTGTCCTGTGGTGCGACAAGGACGGAAGTACGAAAGCGCTGTGCGGAATCGCCCTGCTGGCGCCGCACTCATCGAGTACGTACGGTACTTATTGCAAGTGGGTACACGCCCGCGACGCAGCTCGGCGCATGCCGTGGGCGGGGCGGGGGCGGGGGGCAAGACCACGTCACTGCCGGTGCCCTTCCCTTGATGACTCCCCAGCGACCGCCTTCTCCACTGGATAGTGGAGGTAGCGTCGCCCCTCCTCTTCACCCCCCTCCCCTTCTTCCTGGAAGAGGGCTTCGGGGTTATGCACAGGAGGGGTGCATCTAGTCTAGAGTGCGGCCGGGCAACAACATTAGGAATAAAGTTAAGCGAACCGTGATGTGAAGCTGCATCGGCATAAACGCAGTTTATGGATATTGCTGATTACGAGGTGATTTTTATGTTACCTGTCGCCGTTGGGCCCCGCTGCCCTGGGCTTTATAGGGTGTGCGGGGGGCGTCCATAAGTCAGCTGCTGATGCTGCGCCGCGTCTTCAACTGGACCGGGAGCGACGCGGCGCGGAGCTGCGAAGCTCCCATGTTTGAGCGAGACGCACCACCGCAGCGATGGGGAAAGTTTAGATTACGTTTTACGGCGGGGGAGGTGCCAAAACGGTAATGTATGGGCGGCCCTTTCCCCCGGCGGTCCATGCCCTCTCCGGACCCCGATGATGGGGCGTTGTTTCACCCCGCCGTACTCAGCCGCCGCCGCCGCCCTCAGAACACCATATCGTCGGGTCGGGTACCGCTCCAGCGCAATGGAAACATGACTCTTAGTTTTTCTTACGTTGGGACCTCTTCTCTCACATTTGAAGTAGATTTGGGCTCACAAGATACAGGATCTCAAATAGCCACATGACGAACGGGCGAATTTGTTTACGTATAACGTACAATATTTTAATATCAAAACTGCCTCTCCATGCGAATAATTTAATCTTAGTACGAACGAAACGAACAAGAGGCTTTTGTGTTTTTGTATTCACGCACTCTGCAAATCCAAAAAAAACTTTAGGAAAAAGAATCATTTTTAAAATGACGCAGACTTTAGTATCGGGGTTGAAAGTAACATCTTCTTGATTTGCAGAGAAGAGTTAGTACGGAGAGAAACTTACAGTGATGCCCCTCCCTAATACTGTAGCAAATGCTCTTCTTTGGACTGCTACTCAGCACTTTTTTTTTTGAGGGATGGGGCATACACATGCGTAGTCATCCATGTCTGTTTTTTGTCCATTGAAGTCGACTCTTTTTTGTTGTTGCTGTTTCCCCCAAACCGATGCAGCCGCTGCTAAGCTAGTATAGTACGAGGGGCTGTTAGGTCCCCCATGCTCGTTGCCCTCCCCTCCCCCGCACTCCGCCTC